CACCATTTCCTATTCTCATTAAACACCCCTATTAAATGAAAACTGAAGGTACAGAATCTTAAGGTGTCTAAACAGAGGCTGTTGATGTGACTTCTAGGTGGAATAAATGCATTAACTTACTGTAGTCTTTAGTCTGGATTTTATGTTCCAGTGTGTCTTTATGCAGATACAGACTAGTTGTAAGTTTGTTGTGTAAAGTTGGCATTAGTGTTGATGCATGGCTTAATAAAGCTGGAAAATATGGCAGTGCCCAAAAGCACCATATTAAATGATGCCTATGTCATCCAACAATCATATCGATTAAATTTTATGACAGCCGAGCTAAAAATTTACAGTTCTCAGCACAAATAAGTACATCTTCTTTTAAAAAATAAATATTTTTATCCCTTTCTCAGTGAACATAGCAAACAAATTTTGGTTAATGTAAACAAAACAGTTTTATTAAATAAGTATGTCTAGAAAAATAAGAGTCTTATGTTACACAGGTATACAGTAAGTTGCCATTTAAAAAATATGTTATGCCAAAAATCATTATAATATTAAGTAAAAATTATGTTCCATGAAGGTATTTTGTAAATTTGCAAATGTAAACTTAATGTAAACTTAATTTTTAATTGGTAATATGAATTGCTAAGAACTTTTCTTCTTCAGCTTTAAAGGCAATTTACTCATTTTTTTAAATTTTTGAATTTTGTGAACCCTCATATTTTCAAATAGTCGTATCTTGGCCAAATGAAAACACATAATTGGTTTTGTATTCCATGTTTATAGTAGATTCCTTAATCAACTGCGCCTGATTAGTCAATCCATCCATAAAAATATGAAAAGGTCACCTCGTTATATGGCTAATAGATGTTCTGAATGTCCTGAAACTTAAACTTAATGTCCTGTTAAACTAAATTTAAAACACTGAGTATAACTATGGTTACAGATGCACAATCACCTTGTTCTCTTGCTTTTACCATTCTAGTGGACATGTGGATGTGGACATCATGGATGGATGGATGGATGGATGGATGGATGGATGGATGGATGGATGGATGGATGGATGGATGGATGGATGGATGGATGGATGGATGGATGGATGGATGGATGGATAGATGGATAGATAGATAGATAGATAGATAGATAGATAGATAGATAGATAGATAGATAGATAGATAGATAGATAGATAGATAGATAGATAGATAGATAGATAGATAGATAGATAGATAGATAGATTAAAGCAGTTTATAGATAGATAGATAGACAGACAGACAGACAGACAGACAGACAGACAGACAGACAGACAGACAGACAGACAGACAGACAGACAGACAGACAGACAGACAGATAGATAGATAGATAGATAGATAGATAGATAGATAGATAGATAGATAGATAGATAGATAGATAGATAGATAGATAGATAGATAGATAGATAGATAGATAGATATTGCAACCATTACGCTATCTCCGAAGTCTCAGGTCATTGCAAAGTCATTGCCAGCTATGTGTGAGCAACCTCAGTGTTTGGACACAGCTTTCAATTCATCAATGTTCATTTTGTCCACTTTTATGAAACGGATCCGCAGGTGTGACTGTGGGACCCCCATTCACTGGCACTCTGTCCCTCCTCCTCTGTTTTCAATGCAGCCTCATATAATGCCATGGCACAGCCAAGAGGAGGAGCGTGGAAATGGAAACTCTGCTTGAAGTGTGTAATGAGGTGCACCTGCTGCTTACCGCCACACCACTGCCACCATCAAACTGCATTTCTCCATCAGGGAAGAGATTCCAGCACTAAATGCGTGAAGTGACCCCAGAACCCCGAACATGCTGAACTTCATGTCAGAAGCTGAATCCCATTTTCGTCTCTGGGTCTTGGATATGAACTACTCCCGCTCATCTGTCTTTGTTTGTTTTATTTTGTCACATAAAAGCCTTTCATAGGCGTGTCACTGCTAATCCCATTGTGGATGCGTTTACTTCCCTTCACCCTGGCTAATTAGAGATCTACTCATCTGGGGGTTAATGGGAGATTAGTCTACAAATGAGAACTTCTGTAAGCTTATCTTCAGGAAGGCGAGAACAGTCCAAGACCACAAATACTTTAATTAGACAGATTTTTGAATGTGAGAAACAACTTGTCATTATCACAGTATCAGGTACAACGTTGTACCACATCTATCTCTAAAAGCTTTATATTAGTGCCTCAGACTTTGCATTTAAAGTCCTGTAAAGTGCTTTGAAATGTGCATTTTATTTGATGTTTGGCATAATCTCAACCAAAACACAAAGTGAGGGAGGGACTTAATGTAGCTTAATGTAACTCCTCCCCTTTAAAAAAACAGCCATTTTTTTATTATAGCTCTGCCAGTGAGAGTAGTTGACCTCAAGCACATCAAATGTGAAGCATCTTTAAGAGGGCGGGGCATGTCAGATACTAGAAAGCATTTGATTGGCCAGATGATTTTACAAGAATCTGAAGTATGAGGTGACGTGAATAAAAATGTTAATACATTTAGGCAGAAGTACCACACTATAAGCTTTAGATGTTATCAGTTTTCTATCTCCCAAAAGCTATGTTTGTCACTGTTTTGTTGCGCACTAGCTTATAAAAACTAACAATACTGATACTAACATCTAAAAAAAAAATGTATATATTAATATAAATATTTTAATTTCATGGGACCATTAACATGGATTTTTAGTGATCCAGTCATAAGCCATAAGTCAAGATGCATTGCTATTTCCAACTGGTATAATGATGAGTTCAAATATGTCTCTTGTGGCCATTAGTGTTTGGATTTGACTATGTTCTTTATCACTTTTGTAGCAGTTCTCAGAGCAAAACATGAGTTTGTGAATATCTTCTAAATTAACAAACCCATGTTACTATACTTAGCTTATGAACAAGTGGGAGAGCAGCCGGATGAAAAGAATGTAAAAACGCAGTAAAGAATGAATATTGTTTTGGTGCATTTTCTTGCAACACATACCACAGTGACTAAGTAAGGTCAATCTGCAAAGTAAATGGGGTGTTTTGTGGCTCAATGAATGCAATTGACCACATGAGCATTTACACTAGGAAAGCAATCTGATTATTTGTGTGTTTGATCATCTTTGGAAGTGGTCAAAATTGTAAAAGCTCAAAACTTATTAGAGTCTATTTACATTTGTTTTGCATTGTCCACTTCTGATTAGATTAACGAAAATGCATCTGAATACCATGCGTAAACAAGGCTACAGAGAATGTTTAAACTACTTATACGAACCTTTAGGAGTATTTTAGGTCATAAGGTCTAAATTATTAGCCCTCCAATGATTTTTTTTTTTTCTTTAAAAAAAATAATTTTCTAATTTATGTTTAACAGAACAGGAATTTTTTATAGTATTTCAGCTAATATTTTTTTCTTCTGGAGAAAGTATTATTTGTTTTATTTTGGCAACAATAAAAGCAGTTTTTAATTTTTTCAATACTGGTCAATAAGGTCAAAATTATTAGCCAATAAATTTATATATTTATATATTTATATTTATATATTAGCAATATATTTTTTTAATTGTCTACAGAACAAACTATCATTATACATTGATTTGCCGATCCAGGGCCATATATTTGTAACATTAAAAAAAGTTTTGCAATAAAAAAATTACAAGTTATGCAAATGTCAAAAAAATCTAAAACAAAAACAAAGAACTTCAAATAAAAATCAGGAAGTGCAAAAAAATAATATTTGCGATTTTTAAAAAAATATACATTTGTAAACCCCTTTCTTTTTCCCTTTTTTTAAATATTTCTCAAATTATGTTTAACAAAAAAATGTTCACAGTATTTCTTATAATATTATTTCCTCTGGAGAAAATCTTGAATAAAAGCAGCTTTACATTTTTTTAAATACATTTTAAGGTCAAAAGTTTTTTACCCTTTAAGATATATATTTCTTTTCGATGGTCTACAGAACAAACCGCTGTATACAATAACTTGTCTAATTACCCTAACCTGCCTAGTTAACCTACTTAACCTAGTTAAGGCTTTAAATGTCACTTTGTGCTATATAGAAGCGTCTTGAAAAATATCTAGTGAAATATTATTTACTGTCATCATGGCAAACATAAAAGAAATCAGTTATTATAAATTAAGCCATAAAATATTATGATTAGAAGTATGTTGAAAAAATCTTATTTCCATTAAAGAGAGGTTGGGAAAAAAATATATATATAGGTGGCTAATAATTCTGACTGTACCTGTATATTGAATTTTCTGAGCAAAGAACATTAATTCTAATTTCCAAAACATTTTGTGGGGGGAAATATGAGGGGAAAAAACATCAAACCACTTTGGCATTCAGTCCACATTCTCTACTTGGAACCGTGTACATTATTGCACATTTGTGTTCATCTCATGGAAATGAACCACTTTTGTGGAACAGTTCTGGATAATTGCCAGGTTCTCTTGGTGAAATGTCAGCTGGCTTAGAGGCTGACCACACATCTGCCAACACAAAAGTGAAAGCGTAGGAGCCCGGAGGAGATTCCTCAGTGGAGATCCTTTATAGTCCATCATGCCTCACATCAGAGAGATTTTAACTACATTACATCCTCGAGCCATGTGTGCTACATTTGTCTGCCATGCGCTAATACACAGATTACAGAAATGACTGGATATTGCAAACAAGAGAAGAAGAAAGAGTAACTGAAAACTTTAAAATCTCAGTAGAAACACACTAAACACCCCCTCGGGTCTGTTAAAGACACTGGTCGTTTACTCCTTTTATCAGCATTGGGATTACGTTTCTGGCCCGACTTCGCCAACCTTTTGATTTAAGACACAAGTATTTATATATGTCACCGTGGAAGTCATTAGCACAAATATGAGGCAGGAACTCTTTAAGTATGTGAACCCTTTTGGGGTAGCTACAGAAACACAGCATTTTGTGGGGAGAAAGAGACTTGCTGATGATATGGAAATGAGTAATCAGATTGCAGATTTTATGAAGCAGATATTGGCACAGACCTGCACGAGGTTCCACCCTTCCAACGATTCAGCGATGATTGAAGTCACTGATGGACACACTCCTCCAAAGATCATCAAATGTTTCGGACCGTAGCAGATTGCATCAAAGAAGGCCCGCAATCCCTTTGCATTGTCACACTGAAGAGGGGAAAAAAAGAGAAAAATTGAGTTCAAGCAAGTCTAAAAACATTCATGGAATGGTAATGTCAATCATACTGAAATCTGCAGCTGTACCTGCTCTAAATTCAGACTCTTTATATAGGCTGCAGCGCTCCGACAAAGCTACCATTTAAATGAATATTACAACAAACGCCTTAAAGAGAAACATGGCCTAAAGAGATACTGATAATTTATGACAACTGTAGAAAGCAAAAGCCCAATACTGGACACTTTAAGAGATTTATAAATCTTTTAAGAGTTCACACTTCAATGATCCATCCTTGAGCCCGGAGCTCCCTCCCAATTCATCGGGAGAAAAGGGAGTCTAAGCTCAGGTAGGTCTCAAGAGCTTCCTCGAATTTGTTTCTTGATTATTACGGGTAGCCATGGCGGACTGAACTGCCAACTATACCTGCATATGGTTAAGTGGTGAATGCCCAGTACTAAAACACTCATATACTGTGCCAATTTAGTTTATTCAATTCACTTATACTGCATGTCTTTGGACTGTGGGAGGAAACCGGAGTACCCACATGGGAACGGGGAGAACATATAAACTTCACACAAAAACGCCAACTGGCCCAGCCGGGACTCAAACCAGTGACCTTCTTGCTGTGAGGCAACAGTGCTAATCACTGAGCCGCTGTGCCACCCTGTCCTGGATGAATCTAGGAAAGTGGGGGATGAGTAGGGGTGGAGGGATGGAGGGTTCTTCAAGAAGAGCATTTACACTGCAGATCTTGATGGTCAATTCCGATTTTGTGACTGTATCCGATTTTTTTGATGACTGCATTACATCATCTTTTAAAAGTGACTTGTATCCGAACGGCTGCATTTACACAGCAGAAAGCAAAGGTGCAATGACCAGGAAAAAAAAAATAGACCGCTGACTAACTGATAATTAAAGACTGCTCTTTTCTCTATTCCTGTAATCTGTTTGCAGCTTTTGACAAGCTGTTTAACTATAGTTTACGACAGAAAGGTTCTCATTTGTCCATCTTATTTTGGTATATAGGCTTTTTTAAACCTTTAGGCATCTTAATGTAATGTCCATGGCGTGATTTATGCAAGTGATATGACTAAGCACTAGTTTTATATTAGTTTATATTGATTACTTGGCAGACATTGCACTCTCGCTCACTCTCCTTAACATGCTTAAATACCTGTGCTATATGATAATGTAAAAGCAGTTTAAGTCCTCGTGTATGAGATTGAAGATTTTGGACTAAAATGAAGAAATGAAGCTGTCAGACTTGACGTCATTCGCTATGGTTTTTAATGACATGCGACTTGACAGGTGAAAATCCGATCTACCTGCTTACACTGCAGACGAGAACACCGATCCGATTCATATCGGATAAATTTCCACATATGAACAAGGCCTGAATCTGATTTGAGTAAATCGGAATCCATGTGATTTGTTCCTGCTTACAAGTACATGGGCCATATCCGATCTGTGCCACATGGGAGAAAAAAAAAATTGGAATTGAGTTACTTTAACAGTGCAATGTAAATGTGGCCTAAGATAAGGAAATCTGGTTATTTATGTGCGTTTGGATTTGTCTGATTGGTAAATCATGTGGTAGCTAATGCGAGACCAGCCATGGTCAATCATGAGCACGTTATCCTCTCGAAACTAGTTTATAAATAAACTTCACTTAGTCCCAAAAACTGGACACGTCCAAGAAAAATAGGATGCCCTACCATTGTAAACAGTGTTGATGTTAGTAATATACGTGTAATATGTTTGACATTATTTTAATTGCACTTGCTTTGCAAACAATAAAAAATACAAAAAAAAAGTACAAAATTCTCTGCTCTGCACATGTGCTAATCAAACACATTTGATTTAGTCATCTAGTATACCTGTACGTCAAAAAAGTTTTGATTGGCAGAATCTCAGTAACTGAAAATGGTTGCATTTCCTTTTAAACTGTTTTTCTAATCATCATTAAAGCAAATAGACATTTGGTGCTTAATCAGCACATAAGAAATCATTAAAAAGCGCAAACACCTGCAATAGCATTGGCAGATTGTATTAACATATCTACATTCAATGTTTATATAGGATAAACTATTACAATATTCAAGTTAATGAATCAGTATATGTACATCATGAACACTATTGATTTCCAACATATTGGCCACCTGTTTCGAATGTTATTACTTAATTGAATAGGCGTTATCAGTGGTTATCAGATGATAGATATGGGCCAGTAGGGGGCTACTGGTAGGCTCAGAAGGTTTTTATCATCCACCCACTTAGTTAATCAGCCATACTAATAGAGAAGACTCCAGATCCACATCTGTTTTTACATTACTGTGATGGTTGGGTTTAGGCCTGGGGTAGAGGACTTTAATAAATATAATTAATGGAAAATTTTATAAATAATATAAATAATTCTCATAAACTTCCGGCCTCAGCCGTATGTTATCTATAGCTGATTAACCATGTGGATTGATGATGACAGCCTTCTGAGCCTACCAGTAAGTGCAGAAGGCCCCTACTGGCCCATATCTATCAGCTGATAATCGATTGATAACATTCGAATCGGCTGAAATTACTGCATTAATGCTGTTCTCATATAAATCACATCTACTGACTCTTCAAGTAAAGCTGTTTGTACATAAATATTATTAATTTCCTAAACATATTTGTATTCAAACATCATACAATAACTTAGCTACCTATTCATAAAGTCACTTACTTATTTGAAGATAAATGAATCAGCCATTTTGAACAAATCATTTGAACAAATCGTTAATTACAACAAGGACCTGTCACCCCTTTCCCTTCCCGTTTTAGTGATATTATTTAATTATCCATGACAGATCTGCATGAGCCAAGGTACAAAAAAAAAACACATCCAGCTAATTGTTCATTTAAAAAAAAAAGTAAGACATTGTCTTACAAAACAGCAGTTCCAAGATCACATTTATAAAATCTTATGCAACGTTTTTTTTGAGGCAACTTGCATGTTATGAATCACCAATTTTAGCTAAAAAAACATTCGTTAATATTCCACCGAAGAACATCTTGGATGGCCTAAGGGTGAGTAAATGAACAAATTAGTTATTCTTTATATACAACCATACCACACAATTAAAACCCCCCAGTGCATGCTTCTTTTTTATAATATGATGTAACTGCTGGATCTTGAATTTGTGAATGTGAAAGGGCTGCTGTGCCCGACTGCTGCGCCACTATGCACCCATTTCATATCACTATGGCAACACTCTTGGCTCTGTTGAAGGAAAGAAAACATGTAGCAGGGCTATTGATTGTGATGTGAGCTCGTAACTGTTTTATCTTTGATTTTCTGATGTTGGTAATGATATTTCGGCACCTGGTAAACACTTCCGAAGGTCAATTAACCGCAGTCAGCTTGACCTGACTCAATCCTGGTCGTAACTAGAAATGTCTCAACACTGCACGCTGTGACTCGGTCAAGAATTTACTCTTGACTTTTGACCTTGATCGCTAAAGTGGCTTCTTGTCTTACTTTAGCCAGCTTAAGGATTGAATATTGCAATAGAAGTAGACTGTTGGAATGGATGGATGAATAAACGAATAATTGAATAAAAATCAATACATAATAAGAATTATATATTTATGCAAACACGATATAGGTAACAAAAACTATTATATAAATTTATTCATAATATTTTACTAATTTTACTAATGAATTCCAACATAGTAAATATATTTATTAGAACATAAATATAAATATTTATATCATTTGTTGGTTGTGTTTACTATGATCATATAGTAAGTACAGTAGATTATAAATATAAATAAAATAATATGTATTTGAACAATTATTTTAATAATGCAAAACAAATGTCATCTGACAACTTGTATTTATATATATTTTTTTATAAATAAAGGAAATTCCAGTCAGAGATATCATGTACCTTTTTTATTTAATGTAAAAATTATGTGACCTAAAAACACTAAATCACAAAAAAAAAATCACTAAATCACTAAATAAATAAATAAATAAATAAATAAATAAATAGATCACTAAATAAATAAATAAATCACTAAATAAACAAATTACTAAATAAATAGATCACTAAATAAATAAATAATCACTAAATAAACAAATCACTAAATAAACAAAATCACAAATTAAACAAATCACTAAATATATAAACAAATCACTAAATAAATAAATAAATAAATTACTAAATAAATAAATAAACAAATCACTAAATAAATAAATAAATTACTAAATAAATAAATAAACAAATCACTAAATAAATAAATAAATTACTAAATAAATAAATTAACAAATCACTAAATAAATAAATCACTAATTAAACTAATCATTAAAAATATAAATAATTCACTAAATAAATAAATCTCTAAATAAAATAAAAATTTCATTCATTCATTTTTTTTCCGGCTCAGTTCCTTTATTAATCTGGGGTTGCCAAAGTGAAATGAACTGGCAACTTATTCAGCATATTTTACGCAGCAGATGCCCTTCCAGCTGCAACCCACCACTGGAAAACACTCGCACAACACACTCTCATTCACACGCATACACTACAGACAATTTTAGCTTACCCAATTCACCTGTCCCATATGTCTTTAGACGTGTGGGGGAAACCGGAGCACCCTGAGGGAACCCACGCAAACACGGGGAGAACATGCAAACTCCACACAGAAATGCCAACTGACCCAGCCAAGGCTCAAAACAGCGACCCTCTTTCTGTGAGGCAACAGCACTACCTACTGCACCACTGTGTTGCCCCATATAAATAAATCACTAAATAAAAAAATAAATCACTAAATAAAAAAAATAAATCACTAAATATATCACTAAATCACGAAATAAATAAATAAGTAAATAAACAACATACACATTTAGTATGGAGATGTACTGAGTGACCAAAAATATTATTCACTTATATTATTATAATTATATTTTAAATATAAACAATCTTTTATTTGTTTGTCAATGTCTATATTT